TTAAGATTGTGGAGTCCCCTGAAATAATTTCACGAAAAGAATTATTAAAGTTTTTGAAGAAAAAAAATGCATAGTTTTCACTTGTATACAATTTGATAAAATTCAATACCATGAAATGGTAAAAACCTATTTTTAGTTGAATTTCTAACCGTGTAATAACTTTGTTATCTTGTTTGTATGTAGTACCGTGTTTGCTTCAAATTAATATATTGAAACGCCGAAATAAAAATGTTTTTATCGCACCCACGAGCTCTAGCTTTTTTTGTTTTGGATAGTTCGAAAAATATAATAAAGTTCAATAATTAATAACCACTACCTTTTTTTTTTAGTGTAAATTTACCTAATAGGCGTTTCTAATTTACTACATATCATTACACGGAGGAATAGAAAATCACTGAAAATCACTGTTTTCAGGAGAAGAATATAACAGATTACGAAGTCAGTGCTATATTATTGTTTTATTGGGTCTTTTTTTTTCGCTTATTCAATTAAATCTGCTTTATTTTTAGATCCTAATGTATTCATTTATTTTATATGAAAACCACATCACATGTTTATTTGATTAATTAGATTAGATTAGAAAAATAACAGTTTAAAAATAAATTTATTAACTAATACTGATTTAATAACATAATTTCGTTCATATTTTCTATACGTTGAAAGTAGTTCACTTGGAATATATATATTATGTTTTATAATTTTCATATTGCAGTTCCTAGTACTATATATTTATTACATTTTAGCAATTAATTTTTATTATTTTTCGGATGAAATACTACAGTTCAATTAAATATGTTTTGACGTTAACACTATTATTTCTTTCAGAATTCTACAAATTTATAAATCATTGTTTTTTTCATGATAAACTGTAACAGTTTGTTTCGAATTTATTGACTCTAAAAGAACAAAAACATAAAATGCTTTATATAAAATTGGTGATTTTAAAATTATTGATAATAATTTTCATAATTTCGGATTAATATAATATATTACATATATCGATTTATAACTATGAAATTAGACAATAATATCCCACAAGATGACCTTTTTTTATTTAAATATTTAAAATACAATCAAATGAAGTATAAATAAAGCGATTCTTCAACCATGACTTTTGACATTTTTAACATCAGTTTGTCAAATATCATTTTGCGAGTGTTTTTATCGTGAGTAATTCGACTTTAAGAGTCAGAAATATGTAAAAATAGTTTTGATTTACGTGAGAACGTAGTTTGAGGGCAATGCAGTTAATAACAGATTCACGCATTTTAAAACCAATTTTTATTTATTTCAATTTCGTAAAGAAATGAAAAAATTTGTGCATAAGAAAATAAAATCGTTGATGCATTACCGTTTCTTAGAATAAATACTTCATTAAGTGATAGTCATTATTTTTATGAACTTATAAAATTAATGATAAGATAAAAAAAAAAAGATTCTGAAAAATGGTTTATTTAAAATGTAATTTAATTTATTGCATAAAAAATAGTTAAATAACTCGTAATTGAAAATAAATAGTTTTAAGTATACCAACTGAAATCGACTATATGAAGTAATGAAACTTTTGAAAAGTTTTTGACGGAAAAATAATACCTAATATCCACAAAAACAATAATTGTTGTATTTCAAATTTATAATATAATCAGATCAAAATAATTGATCTGGTAAATCTTCTGAATTTTGAAAAATAGATTATAATGGCTTACGGCCAGTATCGCGTAACGTTTATCAGTTACAAAAACTCGTAAATACTTATTTTATTTTATTGAATTAAAAAAAAAAAAAACGCTTGTTGAGCAGAGTAAACAATTATCTAAAAGTTTTCTTTTTGCTTTTGTATTTTTCATTTCTTCCGCGAGAAAACCAGTAAAGAAAATAAAGAATTCATCGGTTATTAATACGATTTTGTTTCACAATATTTCCGATGTGAAAAACTGTTGTACAAAACTATTGGCGCATATTTCCGAAAAATATTACGAACGGAATATACAAGTATATCGAATTAAAAATATAATAATAATGCTTATCATGTGTATCATATCAAAAACCTCGTTACGCTCGAGTTATCTCATCGTTTGGAATCAAAAAGAATCGAAATATGTCCATAGAACTTTAGCACAACATTTCATGGAACCAAAATCGTATTAACAAAACCGAGCCGCGTCGAATTAACATAAAATCTTATATATTACATATATATGGACACATAACTTGTATCACGAAGAATGATTTTACTTCTTTGAAAATGCAAAAAAATTAACTCAATAGATTCAATCGAATATTAATATTTATTCCACGTAGGTTAGGTAACAATCGCAGTATATGAACGAAACACAGCATCATCAATATGGAGGTCGCCACGGATGCACTTGGCGATTGAAAAAAAAAAAATGTCCACTGCATAAAGGTGTAATAAACCTTACAGACAAATATGACACGATCGTGAGAGTTTGGTTTTTTATTTCATTTTTTTTTCGTTTTTTATATTTTCTCTACTTTGTTTAGAACGATTTCTCACGATTGTGAAGGTTACATTATTATCATGTTTATTTTATTTATTCTATTCAATACCTTAGATATATATGTAGAAATGTTATACAAGTCAATTAAAATACAAAGTCAAGAACAATTCAAAAAAACGTTTTTGGTCTGTAAGGAATAGTTGGTTCAACGGGAGTGTATCAAAGCGCAAAAATCGAAACCCGTCGTGACACCCCGTCGTAGCCACTATATCAGCCACCATATCAGCATCGACCATTTTCCAATAAAATTCCGTTTTTGCATGCGCGTCTTACTCACGCTCTCTAACCAACTATATTCTGCAATCGCTATTCATCACGATGACTGATACTTGTCTGAAAACCATAATTCAGACTGAAAATCCATCGGTATACCATCGGTCCCAGGCTCTAAACTCTCATTCTCCGTTGACGAGTGACAGGTATGATTCATATTTATTCGTTTGCCATGGCGCACCTTGCACACTATTGTACTCGACACGCGCAATATCAACTTCGTTTGTTAACGTTTCAGTACAGTGTGCAATTGGAATTTACGACATGTGTATGGGATGAGCGCATTCGGTATACATCGACTTTATCAGAATACCTGCAGCTGTACGTGATTACCTGTACGGTAAAACACACCCACGGCATGGTCGTACCATCATTATAAAGACTATACCAACACCTACCGAAACCAAAGTATATTATACGCGTTGGACGCGAAAAATATTTTGTACGCCCACGCTGCTATACGTACATCAGCTCTCTTTCCATTTAAAAATCCAATTTTACCGAATCGATTAGAATATAATGATATAATTTTTAAATTCCAACTACAACGAAGAATGTATTGATTTTCCTACCCCCTCACTCGTGCGAATGTTTTTTTGGTCGGTATAAATCCGTACCCAAAGTACACGCTTTATACGTATAAATCTAGATGGATCGAACAAATTAGAAAATAACGTCGAATTTTATTTATCGCTAAGAGCTTATAGTTTCATAGCATATAGTACCAACAAGCAATTTCATGTTTTTTCCGTCTTTACACGCAAATGTCGTTTTACATTACCGTAAAAATTTAACCAGAGCATTTTAAAATAATAACTTGTTGAGATATTAAAATATCGTATAGGGTTAAAACCGATAGATTTCACGTATAAAGACAAAAATGGGAGGGTATCTGATCTTTTAGAGAGTAGCTATTTCAAACATATTATAAAATGTACACTATATGGACTGATATAATTTCTGGTCCAAGGCATGTACTTTTTTATATTATTTTTTTTTTTTTTTTAATTAGGTTAAATGCCACGACGACGATGGCCATTGGCCTGACATATCGTTTTTACATAGGTTAAATTATTTTACACATGTTAGTGCTCAAATTAAGTAGTTTTATATTACATTATATAGATTATATTTTTTTAAGAAGTTAAGTACATAAAAATTGCTGTGGAATCCAGACTAAGAATGTCGAAAATATGTGTAGAGCCTATATGTAGGTTTCTTCACGAAGTTTTTGTTGGTTTCTGCATTCTGTTAAGATGTGTTTTATTGTTAATTAAACTCCGCAGGTAGGGCATGTGGGTGAAAAATCTCTTGTCATCAAATGACGATGTGTTAGAGAAGTGTGTCCTATTCTGAGGTGGTTTATGATAGTTTCTTATTTTCTGGAGAGTATTGAAGGTAGGGGCCATAGAATATTGACTTTTTGATTTCATTAAGTGTGGTCGTCTATTTTGACCAGAGTTGATTTCAAGATAGAGTTGTCTGGTTATTTATGTATTTTTTTGCGTCGGAGTAGTAAAATTCTGAAATAGAGATGACTTTAGTTCAACTGTAGGTGGACTTAGCTGCAGCATCGGCTTTTTCATTGCTAGCTATATTGCTATGGCCGAGAATCCACATAAAAGCGATGTGTTTTCCAGCGGATCATGCAGTGTTGCAGGAATTTTGGATATTTCTTGCTATGTCGGAAGGATTAACTGTGTTTTGGATACTTGTTATTGCACTTAATGAATCGCTAAGTATAAAACAACGTTCATCGTCAACGAATTGAATGAAGTATTTGATGGCTTCTAGTATAGGTAATACTTCGGCTGTGTAAATTGAGCATTTGTCTGATGATTTGATTTGGATTTCGGTGTCGCCACATAGGATTACTGCTCCTGCTTTTTCGTCTATTATAGCCACGTCAGTGTAAATTTTTAGTTGAGCATGAGCTTTGGTTTTGTTGAAATAGTCTTTATATAATTTAGGGTTTGTCTCTTTTTGGGAAGTTGGTGAAGTTTGAGATTGATATCTAGATGAATGAACCAAGGAGACTGATTACTAATAGCTGAAGGAATCATATGGTTAAGATCGAATAAAAATATGTACCGTTATTATGATTAGAAATAATTTTATAATTACGTATTATACCATATACAGTATACATTAGCATTGACGTTAAGACAATAATTAATAATACGTCCAACATCTGATGTTTTTCAGACTGGATACTTAGACGTGAGAATTCCACCGAACATACTGGACGAGACGGACATTGAAGGCCCGGGGAGTGCGGCTATGGAAGGAGGCACTATAAGGTTACGGTGCCGGTCCACAGGGAAACCGGAACCGAAAGTTCACTGGAAAAGAAAGGATAACCGTCACATTGTCATCAGATCGGATGGAGCTAGAGAAAAACAAGGTTTGTGAATGGATTATAAACAATTGTTGTATTTCAATTATTGTTATTATTTCAATAATTTTAATAAAACAGTATATTAAACATTTTGTCCCGAAAAAAACACCGTACTCAGTGGCCACTTTTATATAATTATGGTACGTTATTTGTCTGAATAGAATCTTAATAAAACCTGAAATCTATTGATTTACTCGCAAAGGAAATGTTATCTCTTGTCGTTGCAATTTAAACGATTTCTAATAGCTAATTTTGAATTAATTTTCAGTATTTTAGTTTTTTGTTTTATTTTGTTATTTGAGAAAAGAACCTTAGCTCAGGTATCCAAATGCAAACATTTCTTCATATATTTGTCAAAAATAATTTCATAAAAATATTAAAATTAAATTTAGGTGGAATAAATACATTTTTATTGTTATTAAAATAAAAGTTAAAATAATTGTATATGAAATATCTTTAAAAAAATTTCAAAAATTAAACAATTTTATAAACTAATATATCTATATTATATATAACTATATTCATTAACTTATTGATTTCATATTAAATAAAAAAAAAAATTAACATGTTATATTTTTATCTTTTAAGTAACAAATATTTAATATAATAAACCCACTTATGTCAATCTAAATACTATAGATTGTGAGTAAATTAGGTGTACATATTGATCTAAAACGATTCTTGAAATTAACGAAAAATTATTTAATGTATATAATTTAAAAATTATGTTACATGCATTCAAATGTATACAGTTAGCTGTAAACTTGGCTTCACATACATTATGAATCAGTTATTGAAATAGTATTTTAGAATTAGAAAACCAAAATACTTTTAATAAAATAAAATTAAAATATCAAATTATTAAATGGTCGAGATCCTCGTAAATAGTGTTTAAATAAATAAACAAATAGTTAATATATATATATATATATATATATATATATATATACGAGTATATAGAAATAAATAAAAGCTTAGCCTGGAGTATTATTATATTTGTTGAATACGACATGTTTTGCGTTAACAATTCATCGTCAGGTACATACAAAGTCAATAAAATCGTGACTGAATATGAAAATATAAAATTTAATCGCTGTATTTCGTTATGTAAAATTGGTTTTTCAGAGAACTAAATTCTAAAAAAATACTCTACGTGCAGTAAAGGCAAATAAAAATAAATTTTTCGGCAGTTATATAATCAAAAAACCTTATACATAATAATTAATTATTAATCGACAGCCTATATTCTAGTTGGTAAACGCATACATATTTAAGCATTTATTGTTGGTGATTTTTTTTTTTTTTTTTTAATTTTATTTGACATAAACAATCTATACAATATTGCATAATAAGTTTATTTGATAAGAGAAGAATATAACATGAAAAGGTATGATTAAGCAGCCACTCATTAGTGACTCTTGATTATGTGAATTTTTTTCAGTTTTTATTATTATAATTATTTTAATTTAATTTTTTTTTTTTTTTTTTATTGATTGACATTAAATATTAAAGTTTTGTAATAAATTGCGGCACCACATTCTTTTTAATCTATGGTTAGGATTTCCTGGAAGTGTACGAATAGAGAGATCTTTTATAAGAGGGTTAGGATGAGTTTGGAGTCATTTGTGGAAGCGCGTGTAAAAGATGCGAGCCTCTTCTACTATTGTTCTCATATGAAGATCATTATGAAGTGTTAAATTGGAGATGTAGGGTGGACCATTAGATAGTCGTCAGAGAGATATATTTTGGAACTTTGAATTCTATTGGTGTTGAATTTTTTGGCCGCACCCCATAGTTGAAGGCCATACGTCCAGATTAGCTTGAGTAAAGATTTATTTATTAATAATTTGGTGTTCAGAGTGGAGAATTTATTTCTGATTAAAAGAGGTCTGAACATACGCATACGGTTATTTAATGTTATTCTTTTTGTTCGAAGGTGTTTATTCCATGTTTTTTATCCAGGATTAATCTCAAGTATTTGACTGTCGGTGAATTAACACATGAGACTTAATAGTGTTACATTATTATGACAGTGTTTCGAAAACCATTAGCTTTCTTTGAGAATATTACGAGTTTTCTTTTCTTTTTTTTTTTTGTCAGAATACAATCCGCAGCTTCTATGGCCATTGGACGTTACAATATATCACTTAGTGACTTAATATACAAATAAAATGGGATAAATGCATAGATAAATATTGAAATACATAAGTTCATAATTCCATAAAAAAACATAAATTATACTTGGTTAGTGACGAGGTTGGTTACAGGCCGTCGATGAGGTGTGTTTCTGTTAGAAAATGACTGAGCTTGACGATATTGTCTGGTTCGGAGCTTAAAATTTCAGCCAGGTGGTAGGATTTCCATAGTTTAACTCTCTTCGTGTTATATGCGCTATATTCAGTAAGTTAATTTAGTAAGGTTAAGGGAACCCACACCATATGCAAGGGAGGGGGGTCCTTTTTCTTCATTAAATGTACGTGTGTAAGATGTGTCAGTCCGATTCTAAGATGTTTAATAGCTGACTCATATATTTTTGGGGTGTTGACGGAGAATGTCCAAAGTAGTATTGATCTTTTAATTTCATTAAGCTTTGTGGTCATTTTATTCCATTGTGTTTCACATTGGTGAAATGTATCTTTCTCTTACGACGAAATTTTTTATGTCGCTGTATGAGAAGAGGTAGAGGGAGAGAATATCAGTAGATGTATGAGCTTGTTTGGCGGCCTTGTTCGCACGTTCATTACCATCGATGTTATAATAATTGGAATCTAAGAGTATGATATATTTTGAATGACAAAACACTTTAAATTTTGTTTGATTTTCACAGAATACAGCCATAAAATAAAATAATACTTAAATGTTATTTTTAATTACATGATAAGATAAAATTATAAAAATCACAGCTTACGTATTAGTAATTAATCAATGGAAATAATTTGCGAAAAAAAATTGTCTCAATTTTTAAGTACAAACAATAATTATCTTATACAAATTATTCTACATGATAATATAAATTGATAAAATCATAGTAAGTAGTATGACAAATTGTCATTATCTTTGACGCAAACCAAAAATACTTATGCGTGTACACATATAAACGAAAAAACTAAAATATTTTCATCCAGTTCTTTTATTTTTTGCTTATTTTTTTAAATTGCCACGGAATAATTTATCTAAGTTTACATGACACCTGTTTTCCATAGAACACCATTTGAAAAACATTGCTGTACACATATGCAGCTGGTATTTGATCTATTAAACAACGAAGTTATGTGTCAAGAATGAGACCCAAATCTACCCCTCGTCAAGTCCAAGGTCCGTAATTTGATAGCAATTTATAGCACTGACAAGTGACAACATAAATTATTAGTTACTGAAATGAGTGTGGCAAGGGGAGTTATTGGTTATAGTATTTTACATTTTTTTTGAGGGAGAGGAGAGAGAGAAATATGATCTAAATTATTAGTTGAAGAACATAGTTGGATGTGTAAATTTAAATGTGTTTCAATTTTAAAAGGTTAGGTTAGGTTTCCAAAAAATAGAAATTAAAATGTATTTATAATAAACATCGAAAAACACGGTTAGTTGTGCAGGAAATATTAATTTTTATGAATTTTAATTTCCAAAACACTCTCTAAAATTGTATTACATAATATGTAATATTATATGTATATATTATATACCTTTTATTATAAGGTAATAAAAAATCGAAACATATTGGCCAAATATACCAGATTTTATGTTAAAAATACCGTTTTAATTTAATGTAATATATTCATTTATGAAACTACTGACCATTTAATTACTGTAATATTCTATTAATTTTTTAGTATTGGAAATTTGCTTCAAATTCGCTTAGATTTGATTTTATTCATGCCAAACTTATTAATTTTCTACATTAAAAAAAAATGGAATTTATCATTAATGTTTGATTCGTTTAATTTTAAAGTTAATATAATAAGGTGGAGATTCGTATGCAATAAACATACGAACATTTTGAGTTCTGCTTTCTTTATGTTCGTTTTTAACATCATAAGAAAATCGGAAATCAAATCAAACATTATGTTGGAGATTTATATAAGTATCCCGCATAAAGAATGTTTGTAATTTGAAAGAAATTCAATAAAAATCTAACCTACTTATTATGCTTTTGTAAAAAGTTGTGTATGAAAAATATCGAAAACAATATTATAATTGGGAGGAAGGGGCATTTACAGCATTCTCTACGTTTGTCTTGAAAATGAACATATTAATTTCGTTTACTCTGCAGACTTTGAATTATTCGAAAAAAATAAAACGGAAAAAACTCTTCGGAAAACGTTTTTATAAAACCTATCAGAATCACACAAATCTCGAGAGTTGTGTTCTTGTTGTACGTGTTTCGGCATAACATTATTACGGTCCGTTTGGCATCCCTCTGCATGTCCTCGTATTGCAGCAGTAATAACGCAAAACAAATCGAATACGTAATCAATCGGTATTTTTTTTAATTTTTTTTTCTTGCTATAAATACACACATAGTTCGTATTACCACTAAGCGAAAAGCTATGATATTACACATTATACAAATTTTTTCGTCGACATGTTACACGTTTTCGATCACCGACGAAGAGTGCACTTCTTTGACGTTTGCGTTTGAGACGTTTTTTCCCGGTTTAATTTGCGCTCGATATCAAATATTAACTTGGTATAAAAACAAAACTTAACTAGGAAGGGGAATGAACATCGTAAACTTATATAAGTGAATATTTTGTGTAATGTATATTTATATATATATATACATATTTTTTTTTTTTTTTGTGGCAGTCTGTTTTCTCAACGAGCTTAAGGAAAGAAAAAGAGAACGACACCCCCCTATCTGAACCAAACATCGTTCTCGAGAAAAACTGTTTCTTGCCCTCGGCGGCGTCTTCGAGACCACTTTCCTCCCCTCAAGAACAATTCCCTCCTCGTCAACCTTTTCACCACCGTCCTTTACCCAGATCCCTTATCCCTTTCTTTCGTACTTCTCACCCATTCATCGTCACCCCTCTCACTTCGGAAAATGTGGTTCGTGGCTAGCAATAAGAAATCATTCGTTTGTAACGAACAAAGACAAATGTTATAAAAGGCCGCTGCCTCCGCTTTCGTCCGCTACGTCATTCCCACCGTCCAACACTCACTAACCAAAAGCTACCACAACGCCGGTCCTCGCTTCAACTGCAGCTGATGAGCGGATATCAAGCGGCAAATAAAAATCCGCCGTTATTTGTCAAAACTTTGAACCGGAAGCCACCAGTACCACGCCCGCTTGAGTCGGGAATAAATATCTATACACACGCACCTTACGGTCGTAGTCCTCTTATGGTTAAAATGCGACCAACTGTCGATATGGTTATCAAAGACACTGCACTGTATACATAAAGTCATCGAGCAAGATCCAAAGATGTTCTATAAGTTTTTACTCGTCCAAATTGCACGAAACGTGATGAGGTTTTAGGCATATTACCTTTACATAACAAATGCAGGACTTTAACTTATATTAATATAGAAACGGTTTTATTAAATCAACCTTGATAAATAAATGTAAGAAAAAACGATTCGTTCTTCAAAGGTAGCAAGAAGAATTATATTATATAACTTACTGCTATTCATCGTATCTTCTTAACATATTTTTTACTAAAAAATATATGGAATAAAAATCCTAAATGTTTAGTAATCATTTTTGATTTTCTCTGTTTACTGTATTTTTAATTATGCGCTTCCAACAGCAAACGAAAGACATACGTACGCGTTAACGGTTTATTTGCAAGGATTAAAATTTAAAATTGATCTCCTTAAATATTTTTGTGTTTCAGATTCGGCTATTGTAAAAGGTGACACGCTCGAGCTTAGCAACGTGCACCGGACCGATATGGGCAAGTATTTGTGTATAGCTAAAAACAACGTACCACCGACGGTTAGCAAGGAATTCAATGTACAAATACACTGTAAGTTTTTCGCTAATACTAACGTGCTTACCGGTGGATTAACCTTAAACACGAAGTTTGTATGGGCCACATGCTTACGCACGTGAAAATATACACACGCACATATACTCGATTAATTCACGTGTACAAACTGCAACCCTAGAATTCGCACGAAAAAGGCAACACTTGGCGGATGGATCCTGTGAAAATCCATTAAGGGTATTAATTCGGTTTTTCGTCTATATATATGTGTGTGTGTGTGTGTGTGTGTGTGTGTGTGTGCGCGTGTGCGTGTGCGTACGTAAGCATATGTTTACCGTTGCATTGTGGGATGGTCCATTAAAGGATAATTACATATAGTTATAACAGCAATATCATCTGCTGTTATTTAGGCATATCGTAGTACAAATAGATGAATAATATTATACATTATTTAAATTTAAAATAGGCCGTTTTCGTTGTTTTATTATTCTTATTATTATTATTACGAGTATATATTAAAATTGGATACTGTGCCAATGAATTAGATTTTAATACAAGACTGCAACATTATAAGCAATTATGATTTCTTGATTTCTTCTGTTTCAGTTCATCCGATGATCAAGGTGACTAACCAACTGGTAGCAGCACCAATCGGTAGCAACGTGCACATTCAGTGTTATGTTGAAACTTCGCCGAAAGCTATGCACAGCTGGGCTAAAATTAATGGTAAGACAGTTCTTGGGACGACATGGTGTCTGTAGTAGCTTCTACCCTCCTCCCCGTAACTAAAATACCCTTTATAAAATGTCACCGAACATATTGATATTACACTCGTACAAACACACGTAAGCACACATTCACACAGATACACACACATTTTCCATAGCTCTCAATCGTTTTGTTGTCTAAATAGAACAATCACCCAATAGATCGGTATTCAGCCTGTATGTTTTGCTTCGGAATAATTATGAATTATTCACCAGTCGCTAATCATTGATTTCTTTATGGCTATGAACGACACGATTATATTGTGGTTCAGGCATTTAAAAATATAATATCTAATATTTTCGTTAAATGATTTTATTAATAATCATAAATGTTTAATGATTCTTAGATGAATCTGAAAGGCATATTTCTATCAATATCTTTATTTGTTATTCGTCTTACGAGTAAAGATGCGTCATATTTAATCTACCAAGTAGAGACAACATGATTCAAATTTCAATTTTTTTTTTTGTTATCATTTATATTCTTACTGAAATTCAGCTCTCAATGACTCGTGGTACTCGTAATCGAAAAAACTAATCATTAATGATTTTAAAAGCATCATCTTTTTTCAACAGGAGCATTTCACCTTTGATTGTTATTGTTTAAGTCGATTTTTGTTGATAGAATCCAAAGTAATTACCGTTAATCGCATCTAGAGAACAATATCTATCTATCTATATATAGTAAATTAATGATAATGTATACTATGAAATATTTTATCGGAAACAACTTAAGTATCTGGTAGTAGTGTATAAATTCGGTCGAAATTGTCTTCAACATAATTTGAAGAATAAAAAAAAAAAAGAGATCAATATAAGTCACGTTTATTAATCTCGCTATGTAATTTATTTTTATTGAATTATCTTAAGAACTATTAGTATATAGATACACAGTAGAATCCGCTTAATTGGGACACCGCATATAGGGGAAAATCTCTTAATAGGGATAAATTGGCATAATATCAAACAAATGTATTCGTCTAAGACAATTTAACTTCGTTTATCTGGGACAAACCATTGGTTATAAGGGACAAAAATAAAAGCATCTAATTAGATATTCTGTGCTAAATTATCTACTTTCTTATAAAAACTGTAATTATCTAATATTTATAGCTCTATTATATAGGTAATATCAGTTATTTCAATCATTTATTTTCAAGAACGCCCACAGATGAAAATCCAGGGGGGGGGGAACAGCATTAATTTGTATTAATAATCAAACACTTTTATTAACTAATTGAATATAAATTGCAATTTTATTTTATTTTTTCCAGATTTATCAACAACTTTTTCAATTAAATTAAGTTCTTCGATTTTTTTTCTGTGTAAACTTAACATACATAATCCGGATAAACGATTCTCACATATTGCTGAACGTAACTAGCTATAAATATTAATACATCTTGGTACCAATTATGATTTTTGGGATTTTGGGATATTAAATTTGGGTATAATTATTTTAAATAGCTGGAAAGCTAGAGGGGTTGTCTCCCTACCCCTCCATGTGAGCACCCTTGTTTATTTTTCTTCTATTACCACAATAAGAGTCGGCTTGCCTACGTACAAAATCGAAAAACTTTAGTTCACGTTTTTTCGTCTCTGTGTATGTGTATGTGTATGTAATTCGTATGTGTGTTTTTATTGATCCCAGTTAATGTTAATACGTAACAATTATGTCTCGTAAAAAGTTAACGTTGATTGAAAAAAATTTTATACTGAATAAAATGAAGGCTCAACTTCATAATACTAGTCTTCGTGAGTTAAAAAAATTAATAGGCACTTCTAAATCGATACTAAGTCGATTTAAAAATAATAAAAAAGCTATTCCTGAATTCGATATAATAAGTAATACTAAATAATAATTATAATATAGGAACTGTTGCTAATTATAATAATAATATGTAACTTTTAAATAAAGTACGTATGTATGTATTTTTTAAATAAAGTTATTATGTATGTACATGTATGCACTTCAATAATTTCGGTTTTTTAGTTATTCGGTTAATCGGGACAATCGAATGATGGGAAAAAATAGGTCACCACTCAATGTGTCCCAGTTAAGTGGATTTTACTGTATATATATATATATAGTAAAAATTAATCTTAGTCAAATATTATGCGCTTTGATTCTGTTATGCAATAGGACAATATAGTGATATTTCTTAACGATGATTTGGCAAAAATGAATATTCCGTTCTATTTAAGTCCATTGTGAAATATACGGTAATAAAACTTAGAGATCGTACAACCATGACGCATTTAAAATTTTATCATAGAATAATAATAATCAAGTGGTCGAGCACCGAAATAATTTGTTAATCCAACCCAATTTACTGATATTTCAAACCATATGCTTCTATTGTTTATTTATGCTAGTAAATGTAGTCAAAAATAATAACTAACGAATAGGTTAAGTTATTTTAATTGATTACATTGACATTAAAATTAATTTCAACCTCAAAAATCCATTTGCGTAAATCAAAAAGCCGAAATAAAAACTTAAATTTATATTCACGCTAATAAAGTTTTGACATTCTGCGTTTATTTGACTATAAAATATTAGAAAACAACGAACGTTTAATAACAATATATTAATTACAATGTTAAACAACAAATATATTTTACTGTTAAATTGCGTTTAGTTGAATCTCTTATTTTTTTATTTTTAAAACATCCCTATATTGATAATAAACTCGTATTTATCATGCTGTGTGTGATTACGATCTGAAGTATTATATAACCGCATAATTAGAAACAAACCTTGTGAACGTATTATAATATTCACTGCTTCGGGGATTTTCTGTTAAATAATAGTAATTGCAATACACCGACATATGAGACTTCGCATTTATGAGTGCGGTAAAGTTAATTTCTCAGTACGTCTTTTAGTAAACCGCAATCTAATTCCAAGCAAACGGTGTACAAGCATTATATATTAGTTTAATTTAGAAATAAATGCGTCACGTATAGTCTAAAGTAAAATACGTTTTAAGTCTTGGTCATTGTTTTCGTGGAAGTAAAATAGAACAATAACAATAACGGTCAGTAAAGAAGAACATTTTGACCTTACAAATAATTATAAATAAGACATGTTAAATATTTTAAATAGAACACGTTTTTTATAAATCAAATAATATTGCCTGATGATCTGAATAAAACAAGGCCATGTTTGAAGCACGATTCAAAATAATACTAAGAATGCGAAAGAATAAAAAATTAATTAAAATTACCGTTTACACATCTTTCAGCTGTTGGACATATAGATAGTTCCTTTTACGAGAATTACTTTAAATAAGTAAGTACATGTAATACACAAACAATATATATTTGTTTTAATGAATTTAGAATTTTTTCGCCGGTCCAAACTATCGGTCCGAAAACGATGGCTATCTACGAAATCCTTGGTTAAGCCCGTGTACCACAAGCAAGAAATAAATAACATTACGCGAACGTAAACCACATAGGGTCAGGGAAAATCCTTTGCCCACCCTATAGCGTTGGCGGCGATCTTTGATGGTGGTGGTGGTGGTGATGGTGGTGGATGTAGTCGTTGTCGTCATTGTCGATAAAACTTTCCTTTTACAGTTGTTTTTTACGGTTTCTCTGTGGATATTTCAACCATTAGACAGTATGGTTAGATGGCGTTAGATACTAACGTACATATAAATATAATATGTGTGCGTCTGTTCATCCACTTTAACTACTTGCACGGGATTTGTGCATCGTTGTCGCGGTCACCATAATGCACGCACAATCATATGCGCCTACGTTTTATTCCGCGAACGGGGTGAGCAACAAATCCCTACAATATTTTCGCGTTCCAATTGTAAGGGGGGTGATAGCCATGGTTTGTCGTTGTCTGTTTTCTGGAAGTACATATTTCCGTGTTCCATAGGACGGTGGTGGTAGTAAAGACGTGCATTATGTTGTAAGGGTAGCAGTTACAAGGGACGTGCGAGCTTCGACGACACATAGGTACTAGGTTTTCGCCGTCTTCGCGATCATAAAATCTGCGTTTTCACCGCTGTCTGACCACACCCTTTGCACCCTCGTTATACGCTTACCTCTTCCGTCCGAGGCTTTTCCGAACGATAACGACACGAATAAGTGTTTTCGCACGAATCCAAAGCCATTTACCATGTAACATTATCCCCTCGTTTACAGGCGTTCTTCCCCCCTCAATTCTATCTACCATATCCATTAAATGTCAAGCTCCCCTTGGTCCTCCTTTAGAAGACCTAGTTCTAAATTGTTCTCCAGTTCTTCGGCTGGAACAACCCTAAGCTGCTACCCTAATCTATTTGTTTCCATCGAAGTGTGACGTATGCGTATTCTTCGAACATTTGTTACAATCTGTTGTTGCCTGTTATTAGGTATAATATTAAAACTTGTAATAAATGCGATCACCGCTCCAACCTATAGTTTATTTATTTTTCAATGTTGAAAAGTGAATGTAAATCGTACAAATCTATTCCAGATTTAGAAGAAAAACATTGGAATTCCGTATGAGCAAATGTGATGTACAATAAATAAACATTTTAATTGAATTGATGTAGAGGACATGTATAACTGTGGAATACGACAAATACTCAATCACAAAGAGTATACTGATACTGACAGATAAACCGATCAGCGAAATTTTAAGATTTCTTTCAAAATAACTCGTATTCAAAATCACGTTCACAGAGTCTATATGGAAATCGTGTTTACCAAATCCTAGCAATATTGACTTCTGAATATTCTGAAACGGTATTTTTATTTATTTTTTTTTTAATACTTTATCCAGTATAATGGTATAAAAGCATTTGAATATGTCAATTTCAACGTGTCACTCGCCTAACCTAACCTTTTTCATCGTACTTTCTTCGTTAACATAGAAATGAAGTATTGACCAATGATCGCCGTTTAAGAAAACATACAATTAATTCAACTTCTAAAAAATAGTTACCGGATTAAGTT